CGATTACAAAAAAACTAAATTTAAAGTTACAATTGAGAGATACAAATCACAATAATTGAAAATAAAAGCCATAATTGTGAGATGTAGTCATATTGCGAGATATAAAGTCATATTTTGAAAGGAGATAAAAAGTCAAAAAATATTGCAATAGCGAGAAAAAAAGTCCCTATTGAGATATATAAAGACACATTGTGAGATAAAAAAGTCACAATTTCAAGTCACACTGTCACAGTTGTAAGACAAAACATCAATTGAAAAAAGCAGCTGCAGATTACAATTGTGAGATATAAAGTTGCAATTAAAAGAAACACTCACAATTGTGAGATATAAGATATATTCTACGATATAATGTTGCTATAACGTTCTAAGATACAGTCACATTGTGAGACAACTGCAAAAACAACGTTGCAATTGTGAGATATGAGACACTTTGTAAAATATGAATTTGCAACTATGAGAAAGTCACAACTGCAAGCTAAAAAGTCACAGTTATGAAAATTAAAGCCACAATTGTGAGATACCGTCACATTGCGAGATACTGTAAATCGCAATTCTGAGAAACAAAGTCGCAGCTGTTAGAGTCAGTCACATTTTGAGACATAAAGTTACAAGTGGGAGATAAAAAGTTCGAATTATGATCAGTAAAGTCGCATTGTGAGGTATAATGTCACAACTACGAGAACTGAGAGACAATTACAAAAACTAAAAGCCACAATATAGGAACATTGTGAAATATAAAGTCACAAATGTAGAAAACAATCTGCGATTTTGAGAATTGTTACAATTAACTTTTCATTGTACCGTTTTGAGCAGAAACAGGGTTCAATACATATGTGCTTGTTGAGCATTTCATTCCAAAAGCATTGGTTTTAATAAGGAATCGGTCCTCTTTAACAACCTCCAATATTCTGGCAAGGCTTTCCACTATATGTTGCAATACCTAATGCGTTTTGCACAGGCCAGTCAAGTTCTTTCTCACCAGCAAATCCTTTCTTTATAGATTTTGCTTTGCGCACAGGGACATTAGAAAAAGGCTCTCCACAAATGTTCATGCGCACACAATTCTCTGTATGCCGTAACATTGAGATTTGCCTTCTCTGGGACAATGTGCTCAGTCAAACCCATTACTTATAAGAGGGTCTTCACATACTTTTGGCCATGCAGGGTTAAACTGTAGTTCCCAGTAAATCAGACAGAGGTTGCGCTCCAGTCTACAGCACACAGGCATATGATCGCTGGCAGAAAAATTAATTAGTGAGCGGGACAAGGTTACAGCCACGTAATGAAAGTTATTGGGCATGTCAGTTCATCACAGCCTCAGTCCCCCTATTACTTTCAATCAGGCCAGCCGGCCGTGAAATAGAGCTCCATGTGAGGTTGGAGCTGGAAGTGGCGTATCGGAGGGCCGTCCCCAGTGGCTTTTCACATGGGCGATCAAGGTACTTACTCTAATACGCGCGCAGCGTGATGATGCCGGGACTGTCACACTCGCAGGCCTGCCCCTCATTTCAAATTGCCACAGCAAAGTGGATATACTCCTCCTCTGCTCCATCTCTCTCCCTCCCAGTCTGACCGGAGGAGGTGCGGCTCACCCGGGACGACCCAGCGGAGAGAAACGGATGAGGGGAGACGGCCGCGTCTGGGAAGAGGGCGCTGGTGTGAAACTGTTGCAGCTCCAGTCAATTAACCTGCAGCGAATGCCGATGAGAGAGGATGCTGACAGCTGCTTTGTCTGAGAAAACGTCATTGTGGTTCTCATGCTCGCAGCAGAAACGGACGGGGCCTCATCAGTATCAATACACAGACACACCGAACGCACAGCGTCAGCTAGCTGTCTGAACTCCAGACAGAGCGAGAGCAGTTAGCAAACTTTAAACAGGGATTGTACAATCGCAAGCGAGGCCTCTGGACAAACTTTACTGAGAAGCAGATTGATTCGGTCTGGTTTTTAAGGTGTGTTTAACAATTCGGTTTGGTCTAGTTCAGTTCAGGTTGGAGTCATAAATTATTTTTATTATTTTGAATTGTATTATTTTAATA